GGGGGGGGGGGGGGGGGGGGGGGGGGGGGGGGGGTTTGCCTCCATTACAGTTACGGAGTACTGTACATGTTCACGGGAGGCAGGAGAGCCAAACAATGACGACACGTTGTACAATTGCCTGGTTTTCACCTGAAAAATTACACTCGAGCTCCGCACAAATTCCCCAGCTGCCAGGCTTTGAGCACGTTCTCAAATTGTAATGACTAGGCTCTTCTCAGCCACTTCTTGATCCAGTTTCATGATGTCACGCTTTCCCTCTCCCAGATCCCAAGTGGCCACAAAGGGATTGAACCACCTGACTGTGACGTCGAAACTCAATTGCCATCATCAGACCAATCTCGAATTCTCCAGGACTGGGCGCCGCGACTCTACCAGTTGCTGCAAAGTGTGCCTGAATCATGAACGCGGTTCTTGAGGCCTCCTTCAACATTGACATGTCGTGAAATCAAGCTATTCCCGTATCTACAAGGCTCTCAGCAAGCCAGCCTGCAATGTTGAGCTGGGAGCTGCGTTTGCTGTGCCCCGGATTCTCCATCCGTGGGGCTCCCAGCCAATCACCTCCAAGGAAGAGATATCGCTTATCAACCACACATCACACACGGAGTGGATTTCCTGCGACCTCAATATTTCTTTCATCGCACCGCACCGCAGGACAACATCAAGGTCCTTTCACGGTCCACGCCTAATCAGCGTTACCTGCCCGGTTTGTCGTGAGACACATTTTGACACCGAACACTCAATGGCTTGTACATACCAGATATTATTGATCTCGCTTTCGTACAACATGCAGTCCCTCACGAAACAATAACACAATTACCCTCTCACTTGACACCGTTGATCTTTAAACCCAGTCCTAGGTCAATGCCCGATTCTGAATTATACCATTGCCCTTCTCCTGTCTTGAAAGACCCACATCATGCCTGCCTCACGTGAGACATCGCCCGAGAACGACGTCTTGTCCATGTTCACCGAGATAGTTCCAGTACGGGACAATAAGCAAGCCGCAACCACATCCATCACATTTGGCCATCTACTCCCTCCTACGACGCCCCTCGTATTGCACGAAGACCTCCAGCAAGGCTGTGGAGGCCAACTATGGCCTGCGGGCATGGTCTTGTCAAAATATATACTACAGAACCACAGCACATGTCTTCGGGGGAAGAAGATCGCGGAGATTGGTGCAGGAGGAGGCCTCGTGGGATTGGCAGTCGCGCTTGGGTGCGAGATGGACGCTGGACAGAAGATTTACATCACCGATCAAGTGCCCATGCTGGCTCTCATGGAAAAGAACATTTTATTGAACAATTTGCAGGACAAAGTTCAAGCCATGGTCTATGACTGGGGGACACCACCCCCTGCCGAACTGGTCGCAGCAGCACAATGGCCGGATGTTGTCCTCGCGGCTGACTGCGTCTATTTTGAGCCAGCCTTTCCGCTACTACTTCATACCCTGACGGATTTGATCGGTCCCCAAACCACGTGCTTCTTTTGCTTCAAGAAACGGCGCAAGGCCGACATGCGTTTCATTCGAGACATGATCAAGAAGTTTGCTGTGACGCAGGTCGAGTATGACGACAAGGAGCAGGACCAGAGACATGGAATTTTCCTCTATCGGGTGACCAGGGCGCCGACCACCGGACGCTGATAGGCTCATAGACATGCATGCTACGACTTGTTCCACGCCTACTATTGCAAAGTCTCTTGATGTGTACAGAGCAACTTATGGGACGGAGGAAGAGAATAAAGCCATGCACGAGATTTGAGAAATCGAGTCGTTTTTTATTCTTGTCTGGGATTCAGGGTATCGTAGTCGTACAGATTATGGAAACAAAAGAAATGTTGGGATGGTGCATCCAATCCATGACGCCGTGGCTCTCGGCTCGAGGTGAAGCTTCCATTCGGATCTTTGATAATGGTACAAATGGTACAAATCAACGCGGATCAAAACAAGTCGGCCATATTAACATATTTCTCTCGATTTCGCCAGGCTGGATGTAGAGATTCGGACCAATAGTCCCATCGGACCGAGGGCGTGGGCAACTTGATGCGGAACTGCGGTGGGTGGTGTGCAGCCTAGAAGAATCTTCGGGTTCCCCTCCCATCAGTTCCATGCATGCGTCTTGTCCCCGCAGCTTTCTTGCCAGGGCGACGGGTCAAGCTTCCTCTGATGCGCATCATGGCACCGGAAACCTTGTCGCCGATGCTTGTTTTGCGACGCGGTGTGGTACGGGTGGTCCTGGTGCGAGGAGTGCGAGCAGAGTGGGTGCTTCGACCAAAACGGCTCTTCCGCGCAGGGCGGGCTGTGGTGGTGGTAGCGGTGGTTCTAGGCGGCCCTCTGAGGCGTTGCATCAGGCTGGGTTTGGTCCTGGTAGTATGACCATGTCTGCTGGTTCTGGCTGGGTGTCTTGAGGTGGTGGCATGAGTGGTGGTTGCGGGACGAGTGTGGAATCCGAGAACCATATTGTATAGTGGATGTGATGTGGGAATTGGTGGTGGATACGATGGGTATTCGCGGGTTTTGTTGCTTTGCTAGTCAATTTGATGGGGAATGATTACTCTTGAATAATAAATTCTGGAGCTAGAGTACAGGAACAATTGAGGTCTTTTATCACCAAGTCACTCTATCTTCAAAGCCAAGTTTCCCATGCTCTGAGATTCGAGTGACGACGGGCGACGTCATTGTCGATATCATCTTCGATTTTTACATACGACCATCTTATCTAGAACAGTGGCCACCTGGTTAGTGTAGCGCGGGACAATAATGGTAGGGACAACAAACGACTTTCAGTGGCTGCGTGGCTTGAACCGTCGAGAAAGCAGGTTTCTGGCATGGAACGTTGAGGTAGATGGAAGAGATCTACAAGACAGACCCAATCAAGACCCATGATGGCCGCCACAAAATCAAGCTTGGCTGACGCAGGTGTTGCGATGGACTTCTACGTACCACCTGTTCAACCATCGAAGTTTCTGCATCTCGATCGCACCGCAATGTTGGAAATCTCATTCAAAATCGAATGGGGGTTAGCGATTGCGAAGATAATACGCCATTGTTGGCATGGCTGCGTGGCCTGAACGGAGAATATATAGTTAGGCCAAATCCCCGCGTTTGGTCAGCTACCACGTGCTGGTTTACATATGAGCCTCCGGAGTAGAGCGATGTGAGGCATCATCTAGTCTCCCTTTGAACACCTACAGATTCTTAATTCTTACTTAATCTCTAAGGCAATATCCTGGTACTTGGTTAATGTCTGCCTCCTTGATCTTCGTTTGATCTTCCATCGATTCAACATCCGCAAAAGACGATGAGTCAAAATGCGGAATAGACCTGGGGACCAATACACTTCAGCCACAATACACTCTGCAAGCGAGCCAGGTTGGTCTATCGCCTTCCCGATCATTGCTCGGTCACATGCAACAGTCATTGGCCCATTCTTGATCGCGATAGAGAGCTGAATTATTAGTCATTATTAGATGAACTCATCTCTATAACCGTCCCGCCCCTGACATAACCGCCGGTATCCGTCCGAGGGTGCCAAGATATGGACGGAGCGCAACAAAAAGACGGACCGGGTGGGGTCACTACGCGCGACTTTTGTAACCTCATCTCACTTGTCCTCGCTACTTGTTATCATGAAAATTTCCTGTCCAATCGAGGTTTGCATATTCCACGGTTATGTCAACAATATGGACTTGGAAAAGTACCGGCCCTTTACGATTAGACGCGTGGCACATCATCCAGAGGTTGGTAACTAAACCTTCTCCCACTGCATAACTTTGTGCACGGTAGCAAAGAGCCGCCCGGGAGACGATTTTGACAGAGCAAGGGCGTGTAGCGGGCCTGACTCACTCACAGAACAATAAAAGAAAATTTATCATCAAACACCTTCCCTATCACTAGTGATCTGCTCCACAATCCCGCTGGCTACCTTGATGGCGCGGTCCGATGGATATAACACCCATTGCGCCCTCGTAAACCCCTGGACATCCCTCTTCTCCTTCTATCCCTGCTGAAGCTTTATGAGTTATTCTGAACCCTCGGTTTGTATAGCGCACACACGCTTATTCTCTCTGCCTTTATCTCTGATCCTCAGGCCGATCTTTCCAGACCTCTGAATTGATTTGCCCTGCTGACTCTCACCCGTCCTACGCCATGGCACCAAGCGCCGTGTCGCCCGTTTCACCTCCATCTCCAACATTGGACAGCACCGCCAAACTGACCAAAGCGGGCACCCTTACTACCCTGTCCCAGACCATCTCGAGCGACAGCCCCGGAGTCGCGGATCTCGATGCTTCTAAACTGTCCATCACCCGGACTCAGAACCCTAAGGTAGTGCCGGCCCCGGACTCCCCAGAAGTGTGGTCACAAAATACTACCACCGACCACATGTTGACTTGTCGCTGGACCGAACAATCTGGCTGGGATGCCCCCGAAATTCTTCCATACGGTCCCTTCTCCATCATGCCAACTGCGTCCGTATTGCACTACGCTACCGAGTGTTTTGAAGGCATGAAGGCATATCGTGGCCAGGATGGCAAGGTCCGCCTGTTCCGCCCTGAGCGTAATTCTGTTCGCTTCCTCAGCTCCGCTACCCGCATTGCCTTGCCTGGCTTCCCTCCCCAGGAGTTTGTCAAGTTACTTAAGAAACTTGTGGGCGTCGAGGCTAAGAAATGGCTCAGCGAGCCTGGTTCTTTTATCTACATTCGCCCTACCATGATCGCCACTGCGCCTGCTTTAGGTATCCAGAAACCCAAAGAAGCTCTCTTATACATCATCATGGTCCTGTTTCCTAATCTCGGTGGGCCCAGTCCGACCGCTGGACCGACGCCCACGCCATCATCCCTCGACAAATCCTCCTTGGGGATGCGTCTTCTTGCCTCCCGCCATGATATGATCCGTGCCTGGCCTGGCGGCTTTGGGAATGCAAAAGTGGGCGCCAACTATGGACCAACATTGTTAGCACAAGGCGAAGCTCGCGCTCGGGGCTATCACCAAATCTTGTGGCTCTTTGGCGACCAATCCTACGTGACTGAAGCCGGGGGTAGCAATTTCTTTGTCTTATGGACTAACGCAACTACGGGCCAGAAGGAGCTGGTCACCGCTCCGCTCGACGACGGCACCATCCTCGCGGGAGTCACGCGGGCCTCGGTCCTGGACTTGGTCTCGGCCACACGGCCCGACATTCAAATTGTCCAGAGGCCATTTACCATGCAGGAGATGATTGATGCTAAATCCGAGGGCAGATTGATCGAGGCATTTGGTGCAGGCACCGCTTTCTTCATCGCCCCCGTGGCCGATATCCATTTCCGAGGCATCGACTTGACCTTGCCTCTGGGCGACGGCGTCCTGGGAGGGGATGAATTCGCCATGTCCATTAAGAACCAGTTGATGGACATCATGTATGGTAAGGTGAAGCATGATTGGGCTGTAGTGGTTGACGAGATCGACTGCTGATTCAATCACTGCGGACTGCTCGCATGGCCATGGCTAAGCTTGTCAATATATCTCAACCATCCACCCAAATCTCACCTTATATCCGGTCGTGGTGTGAATTTATCTGGTATATAATCAAAACTTTCATAGATCAATGATAGAGCATCAAGGCTGGCCCGGCCTTCAATTCTCAGCCAGAACGCTTCCACCTCACCACCCCTTCGTCCTCGCTATTCTCCTCACCGCCGCGTTGCCTGTGATTGAGTCACCAGCCCGCTGATATGGTGGCGGGTCTATGCCTTTACGCCTCGACAAATTTCAAGTCGTGAAATCGACCAAGGTTAGAACCTGAGTATACAGGCACTCGGCTTATTGATTCGATCGAGTCCTATCTTATGGCTACTCGTGGGCAGCTACTTGATGTGTCTCCTCCACGGCCATCCATCTTTCGACCAATCGCTCTGCCGCGAACCTTGACCAACGGTTTTGTCCATTCGCAAGCTGATCTCTCGCCGTCGACCACTATTCCATAGTCATCTGTCTGATCCTTTACCCCAGCCATAAGCCGCTGCATCAATCAGAAGCTGTCGTCCACCCCAGCCATTCGCAATCTCGCTTGGCTAACTAGCCATAGCAACATGCGCCTTATATCAATCTCGAGAACGGCCACCATGTCTCTGGTCTTTCAGCCAGCAGCTCTGCCCAAAAGCCTGTGCAAGGACCTGACTCGATTTGAACCATTGTTTTGAATTTTTGGTGAGTATCCTGTCGAGCTTCAGGGTGAATGCCTGAATAGTCTGCGAGTTTAGTTAGACCGAGGGATGAACAAAGGATGATACTACCAACCGCGATAACTCGTTGACAGCGCTATCGCGTGCTCTTTGAGCTCTGCCGATCTTTGTTGTGTGGTGCCCGAGGCGTAGTCATGTATCTTTGCCCACTGATGCGGTAATCATGCCAGCAAGAAGAGGTTTGATGCTTCCCTAGTGGTAGCCTCATCTGTTAATGCTTGCCATCATCCTGAACGCCTTCTAGCGGATTGTATGGCACGCCGTGGGGTGGGCCGTTTGGTTGAGGTCCATGGTTCTGCTGATGCTGAAAATTCTTCTGGGGGATCTGTGGGTACCCAGTGCTCATCGTTCGATGACCTCCGGTGTACCCTTGCGCCGCACCATAATGATGTCCGCCGTACCCCCCACGAGGGCCATTCATATGTTGTTGTTGATAGTTTGATGGGCCACCTTGGCCTGACATGCTGTACATCATTGGCGGTGCAACTGGGTAGCCTTGCTGGGATCCTTGCTGCATCATCGCCGGCGCAACCCGCTGAGGGCTGGCAAAACCATTCTGCTGTGGATGGACATGACCGGAGCTAGGGGAGTACATATGGACCTGGGGGCCGAATTGTGGGGGGACGCCCATGTAGGGTCCACTGGAGGCTTGCTGCACCATCATCTGTGGACCCATCTGTCCCACTTGTGCGTGCATCATACCAGGAGTTCCAGGATAATGTTGAACTTGCATGGGCATCTGCCCTGCCGCAGGTCTGTAATATGGTTGACTCTGTGGGTACACCAGTTGAGCGTGATGGTTCATTGGAGAAGCATAGGCCGAAGTCTGCCGGGATGCAAGACTGGGAGAAGGATATACACCAGAAGTGACCGAGCCGAATTGCACACGATGACCTGCATCCTCATACTGAGGTGGGTAGTGATGAGGAGCACCATGATGGCCATGTTGCGGAGTTGAGATGTGGGGGATGTTGGACGGTCCGCTAGGGATGACACCTGGTTGGCCAGGAAATGCTGGGTGTTGAGCTGGGCCCGTGCCAGCTTGTGCAGGAGATGATGACAGTCCACCAGGGCGTGCGAATGCCTCTTCATAGGTCTTCTGGTCATTCTGGTCCCTCACGGTCCAGCGTGGCCCAGTCTGGAAAGCATTGGGAATGCCACCATTATTGGTGTAGTCCTTGAAAGGCTCTTCCGATTTTGAGTCGGAGCGGTCATTGTCTCCTTTCATTCGGACGATTGCGTTGAAGTCCTGGGAAAGTGATGGTCTGTCTGTTGGCGATTTCGGCTTTCTGCCGGCAAAAAAGGCAGACGGACTGGCAGTCCTGGATACAGAACTGGATCTCTGAGCAGAATTGGGACTCGAGGGCTGCAACGCAGTTCCGGATGGGCTGAATGTGGCTGCGCCGGCATTAGGACGAAACTCGGATGCCTTGACGTTGAGATTGAATTTGTTGGATACGACAGAATTTGGAGTAGGAGCAGTCGAACGTTGGGGACTCCTCACACCGTTTTGCTCAGCCAAAGGTCCCGCTGGGGGAACGCGGCCGCCGATGAGCGGAATGGGGGCAGGTAATGGGTGCGACGAGTTCGTCTTTCCTCCTTGTTGGCTAGGAAATCGAGGAGGATAGTTCGCGCCGTTGTTGCGTGGGTTGGGATAACCCATGGTTTGTTGTTGGCTCAATGGACGATCGGGTCGACCATTTGGAGGGAACCCGCCACGTGTGCGGTTGAAGGTTTGTCGGTCTGGCAGCGAAGGCTGTGCAACAGGAGCGTCAACCTTGCGAGGGCTTGAAGTATCAGGGGACGCGACAGGAGAGGCCATTCTTGCTGAAGCGGAAGTGCTTGAGCCATCATGTTCCTTCTGGGCCTTTTCAACAATTGCTTCCTGTTTCACGGGATCCTTTGCTAAAATGCCTATAAGATCGGTCGGAATAGGCGTTTTCAGCTTGAACGTCTTGGAAAACCGAAGTAGCTCGTTCAATTTGGCTGTCCGATCTTGACTTGCTTGTGCTTTCCTCCTCTCAATGACGCGTTGCTTTTCGGCGTCAGCAAATTGGCGGAATTGGTTCAGAACCTTGACCTCGACATTCTCGGTTGGGCCTGGTGAGGTCGGACCAGTGGGGGTCGCAGAATGCGCGAGCTGAGCCTCGGTGTCCTTTTCCTTGTCTGTGGTGTCTTCGATGGACGTCTTCGGTTGGGCTGACAAGTTGATGGTGGAAGGCTTTTGGTCTGTGGTCGTGGCTTCTGTTAGAGTTGCCGCGGACACGTCTGTTGTGGCCGATTGTGCAGTCCCTGCCTCTGGCTTTTCGGGGGCGGTCCTTGGGTGCTGAGGAGGCGCCAACTGTGAAGAAATGATAGCCGGATCAATTGGTGCTCCCGGGACGGTGGCTTGGCCAGTTGGTGCTCGTCGTGCTGGAGGAGTATACTTGTTTGTTGCTCCTCCAGGGAGAGGTTGAAATGTCCGAGTCTCACGGCGGACTCCACTGTATTTGTCCTCCTCATCTTCGCCATCATTCCCCGTAGCCTGACCACGCTCCTCACGAACGTGGGCGATTGTAGATGCTGTGCCCTCAATTTCTCTAGCCAGCCTTTCCGCCTCCGCCTCCCTGGATTTGTAGGAAGGAGCGGTGCGGTCGATGGTGGTAGTGTATAGGCTCTCGTCATAGGTACTTTTTGCGCCAAAGAGCTGGTTATTGACAGCAAACTGATCCCACGTGCCCGAAGAGGCAGATTGTTCGAGGCTGAAGTCAGTTGTATCTGGGCCTTCAGGAACCCATCTTTGAAGCAGTCTTTCCCCTCGGTTTTGATTGCCAGAAATATCAGCATCGGTCTGAAAGGCAGAAGACGAACCTGTGAAACGTTAGCCTGTTGAGATGGGATTAAAAGTGATTGTTGGGAAGGGCATACCGTTTGCAGCCTTGGTGGATTGAGCAGTGGCAAAGTCGGGGATCGATACATCGGTGATTTCCTTGATGTCGACATTCAACGCATGATCGGGACTCGCGCCAATGAAGGCCGCTTCCAGAAATGCAGAACCATTGCCCTGCGCTGCGTGTGATTTTCTGACCATCTTTAAGGTTATTTTAGACAAGCCATTCTGAGGATTGGAGCCAGAGAGCAAGCCCTCGAACCTGTCGCCATTCTTGACCGTGACAACGATAGTCAAGCCCTGGCAAGGATTGTTAGCCACCATACCGGGTCAGACACAGGGTGGAGACGTACGATGGCGGCAGCAAGAATGAATGATAATCTTTCATGGGCCTGTTTGTCCGAAATACCTTGATCTTTCTGGCCGACGAGTCTATTGTTTGTCATGTTTCTCGGCTGTGGGGTAGTTCCATTTTGCTGTGTAGCCATGGCAGTTCGGTGAGAAAACGAGTTGGTGCCAGAGCCCCAAGCTTTCTGTGTGATGGGTCGCCTACAGCACAGATGGAAAGAGTTAGTACTTTGATGTCATCGTTGAGGTAGGAGGTGTATGAGATGGATGATGAAGATGGAATCAAAGGTAGCGAGACTGAAAGTGAAATCTTGAAGGACGGTGAAGGGTAGGTAAACAGGTACTGACCGTGGTGCTCCGTCGACGGGGCTCTGTTTGCGACCTTGATCCGCAGCCTTCGCGTTGTTGTTGGACCTCATCGTGTTTCTTGCCTGACCATGACTGTTCTGCGAAGTGCCGGAATTTACGAGGGCGATGGAGGAGGTTGAGGAATTGGCAGTGATACTGGGCGCAGAGGCCATCAGTTGCAGGAGGGACGCTGGCAGAGTCGCACAGGAGAGAAACGGGAGCTGATTCGACAGGACCAGCCAGTCAGGCGGCACCAGAAGGGAGGAAGACAAGGCAGCGTAAGAGGATATACAAGTGGTCTGCAATAGATCAGGCAAGCGGTGACAGAATCGATGTCTAGCGGCGTAACTTGAACGGTGCGGTGATGCGAAGATTCAGGTGGAGGTGTGAGAGCACGAGCCTCAATTTCAAAAAAAGGTGGAAAATGTCCCAGACGGGGTGCAGGAACCACCCAAATGCAGAGGATTCGGGGAAATTGAAGAGCAGTGCAAGTCGAGACAGGTCAGGCCAGGATCCAGAGAAGGAAAGGACGAAACAAAGGAGCTGAAGCAGCAGTGTCCAGTCCTTTGGGTGTCAGATGGAACAAGTGGCAGTGAAGCAGACTGCAAGACAATTGCAGGTTGAGGGTAAAGGGCGAAGGTCGGAGTAGGAGGGTTCGTTTTTGGGAAGTGATAGTAGGAGAGAGCAGAGAGCAGAGAGTAGAGAGCAGAGATGCAGAGAAATCAGAGAACGGAGGCACACCACCGACTGTTTGGGGGCAATGGGGACCCAAACTGTACGGAGAGACTCCAGCAGAGTGTTGTAGACTAAACCAGGAGTGCCAGGTGAGATCTCCAAGAGGCTCTTTGCGCCTGGAATTGGAAATTGGAGGTGGCCGAGAGTCCCCTGGTCCCTCGTCCTCAAGCTGAGGACCTACCACCCAACCCACCAGCCGTGCCAGTCACGCCAATGAAGCTCTGCGCCTGGACAATTCCAGGGGAGTGTAGGGACAGGAAGTGCGCAGCAGCGGGAGTTGATCCTTTTGGTTCCCTCCCACAACCACTACGTGTCTACCTGCAACAATCAAGAAAGTCTACGAGTGTACTCCCTAACTAGCCACATTGTCCAAGTATTGTATGTAGATGGTAATGAGCAATGGCAAGGTGATACTGTAGTGATATTAATTGAGAAGAGCTAGTGGGCCTGAAATGTTGATCGCTATTGACTTGTTCCTTTTAATAAAATAATACCCACAAAGACGAAGAATATTAGGTCAAGGCAACATATTATTGTTTGTGCGGACCTTGGGCTGTTCCCTCTGCTCCTCTCGCAGCTAGGGGTTTCCCTTGGGATTTTACCTGCCTTGTGAGTCGAGTGCCTTGCCGTGGGAAGAGGCTTGGGCCTTCTGGCCAAACACGCCAGACCACATCTTCTGAAGCCAGCATACGTATGCGTATCAACCATGCACGAGTAGGGCGCAGGTGGAGGAGGAGCCGGGACCTGGAGGAAGGACAACCCCAGGTACACACCTCAGGTAGGTACCTAGGTAGGTAGGCCAGGAGATTTTATGGAAACTACCTGGTAGGTACCTAGTACTGCCTACCTACACTACACTACAATTCAACAAAGACAAACATTGGCATGGTGATTTTTACGTACCCACTCCATGCCACCCCAAACAGGTGTCAAAAGCGCAATATCGTGTCTTTTAGAACAAATGCCGCCTGTACTGGTCACACACCCACACAGCAGTTTGCTGCAACATTTGTTGTAACATGCATTCAAACAATTCGACGCGGAACCACTCAATTCACTACTGAAGTGGGGTTGTGACATGGATCTTGGTGGGAATTCTGAGCTGGGCAGGGACTGATCTAGTGGAACGGCACGGCGGAGATCCCTGTTGCCGTAGACTAATGATGATGGAGAAGACAGCCATTGCGTGGCGCAACAAGGGAGGCATGGCTCCGCACCCCGTCTTGTCTAAGGAATGCTCACACTGGACTCACAGCTTCATCGCTCTGCCCACAACAAGCACACACCCACATGAGAATTAGGCACAATAGACCAGTGCTCATCTTGACCGACTGAGAAGTAAAGAGGGATAACAACGCCACATCATACCCATCATGTTTGTCCATACCAGCCCTGAACTGGTTGCCTTGACCCTCCATGTGCCCTATGGACGTCAACTGAATCTCTCCCATCTATCAATAAACCCCCAGTTTGCCAAATCATCGCCATTGGCCGGACCTGAGTCTGCACCGGTAGGTACCTACGGATATCCATACAGCAGTACTGCCCACATACCCTGGCAGGCTGCTGAGTCGGATTGCTTCGCATTTCGCTGACTCCACAGCTCATCACATACAGCACAATGTTGGGCCACTGAAAGAAGGAAAATACAAATTGAGCTCTTATTGCAAGTGTGTCATTGTAATCGTACCTTGCATTCCGCCAGTACATTAGAACTTAGCCTCGTCTGACAGTCTTGCCGACGAGCATATGAAATTGCTCAAAGTGCGAGCCCAAACACACCCATCCGAAACGGCCAAATGGCTTGCTGCAACGAATCAACATCTTGACAAGTCGGAGGCAGTCAACTCGACGCCAGCATCGACAATGCTCGAGAAGGCAAGAATGGTCCTCACCACCACATGACGCCTTACGCCTTACAACGAGACAGTTGGCAAGTCCCGGAAGGTAGACAACGTTGTCGTTGTGGGCGGAAAACATGATGTCAGATCCACGTAGACATCATCACAACCTCAACGAATTCAAAATCGCCGAAGTCATGGAGCGATACTGGTTCATCCCGCCTTGGACCTTTTTGAACTGGATGCCGTGTAGTGAAAGTAGAGGAATCTTGACAATTGCAATCTCAAACTTGAGTACGAGTCGTTCCCCTGTATCATCTTGTACTTTCGTCCTCGTGGCAGCTCCGTCGTGTGGCTGGTCCGCCGTGCGGCCATGGGGGAGATAGTCCTCGGACCCTTCAGAGTTGGTAACAAAGCTCTGATCTGGGTGTCGCCGTCTGGTGTGATGCTTCGTTAGCCGCTCACGATCGTCTCTGATGTCTTCCTTGTCCCGGCCACGGAACGCCCCACCAAATGAAATTCGTCGTTGATGACCCGAAGTCACGCGCCCACTCTTCTCTTCATCGGCAGGTTCTCGTACCCCTTCCAGATTGATACTTGGAGCATGTCGACAGGAAAACCCTCCCTTGATTACGGAATACTGCACCCCTAGCTGGTTCAACACACGAATAATGTCTTGTCGAATAAATTCTGGAGGCTTGCTGCTCGTCGTTGACGTCGAGAACAAGCCCTTCAGACCAGCTGGCTTAGCGATGCCGATACTCGGAGTGTCAGGAAGCGCTGGAGTATCCCGGTTATCCACATCATGCCGCAGGTCTGCATCGGTTTCCTCGGGAAGGTTGGCTTCTCGGTCACGTCGTTCCTCGTGTCGACGCCGTCTGGCTTGGATACTTTCCTGTCTTGCGTGGCCTAAGGATCTGGTACGTGCGGCATGTGGCGTGCGTGGCGTTGTCAATGGACCGCCGCTGGAATCAGGCAGGTCGACAAGTTCAACACCTTTACCGGCTCTGGTAGCGTGGACACTCGACTGATCCGATCCGCTTGTTGGTGGAGGTTCAGCAGCCAGGAGTGGAGATTCGTTACCTGACACGCCAGTGCTGTGAACTCGACGTGGTCTGTAATCGGCAGAATTGACACTGGTAGACCTTCCAAGAAACTTGCCTGCTTTCGTGAGCCCTCCGCTAGCGCTGAGAAGTCCCTCATGCTGCGGCTGACTGCCCCCTTGATGATGGGTCGATGGACTGGGGTCTCGTCTGCGCGAGCGGCGAACCGAGAATGATTTACGAGGCGCGGTCGCCGAATCTTGCGGTGGCTGAATATTGAGGGCTGGGGGAGCAGGTCGGTCTGACTCCCGATCCTTATATCGTCTTGTGCTGAACCTTCGCAGTAATCCCAAAGCCGTCCCTTCCCTCTTCGGAGGCTGATCTCCGTGAGGAGAAGAAAGCGTGTTCGAAGCTTGGCCTGATTTTCTGTCACTAAGTTCGACAGACTTGAGTCCCTGCAGAACGTCCTCATCTTCTCCGTTCGTGCGGGCCCTAGGCCTAGCTCGACCGCCGGTGGCCTTCTCTCCGGGCATCTCTGGAGCAAAGGTGTTCGTGTGGGCAGCTTCAGGTGATGGCAGGCCGGGCAACTTGATAACCTGATCGCCAGAAACATCAGGGAGGCCCAAAGCACCTGGATTATGTGCCCTCCTTTCTCGGTCACGTTTCTCTCGTGCTAGATAGTAAACGGAGACCAATGGGCTGTATGCATTGAGTGGGTCCTGGCCTCGGATCGCTTCACTTGAAGGGGTAGTCAAGCCTTCCCGGCTGATCGAATTGCGGCGCTTGTAGAAATCGAACACACCACGTTTCTTCTCCGAGATACTTGAAGGGTGAGAGAATTCCTCTCTTAAATTGCGTCGTACCGCGTTTTGATAGTCATCAGATTCGATGATCCTGGTGAGTTGATCCGTTATATAGGCCGCGGAACCAAACTCAAAGCCCTGCATCTTGTCAATCACCTCGCTATCGAGAGGTAGAGTGAGTGGCTCGCGGTGGGCGAGGCAATTGTCAGGAGCAGAGTTGAAGCCCTTGGTCATCCATGGATGGTTCATGATCTCCTGTAAAGTGGCGCGTTCTCGTGGGTCCACGACGAGCATGCGAGATATGATGTTTTTGCATTCTACGGAAGGTTAGCATAGTCTCTGCCATGGGAACTGAGGACAACGAACCGGCAGTAAGCCACTGGGGATAATCTACCACGCCTCGTTTGATTTTGGCGTGAAGTTGAGGCATGCTCTGGTCATCAAAGGGAACTTTGCCACACACCAGGACGTACAACACAATGCCAAAACTCCAAACGTCAACCTCGGGGCCGGTGTATTGGCGGGCCTGCAAGAGCTCCGGAGCGGCGAAATATAAGCTCCCGCAGAATGTCTTGAGGAGACTTCGGGGAGAGTAGAGATTGCTCAAGCCAAAATCAATGATTTTGATGTCGCCAGTCTTGCTGATTAAGATGTTCTCGATCTTGAGGTCTCGGTGGACAATGCTGTTTCTGTGACAATAATCCAACGCACTGGCGATCTGACGGGCAAACTTTCTTGCTTGTTTGTCTTTCAGCCTCCCATGAGCGATGATATAGTCGAGCATTTGTCCTCCGTTGACGTATTCAAACAGCATGTACCAATGGTAGTTTGTTCGTTGAACGTCGATCATTCCACATATGTAAGGGTGTGATAACAAAGAGACCATTGCAGCTTCTCTAGCAGTTCGGATTTCTTTGGAACGGTCAGCCCTTTCATCCCTGGGATTCCCATGCTCGTCAGCAGACTGTCTCGGCACAATCTTGATGGCGGCCTGTTCTCCTGTCTCAATGTTTCTGGCGAGTTTGACCTTTCCCATGCTTCCTTGGCCGATGGTCTTTCCCAGAGACCACGTGCCAGTCTGGGCAGTGATTGAGGTGCGTCTCCTACCCACGGTGGGGTACGGTTGTGATGGGCCAGGGTGTCTATCAGATTCTGGACGTGAAGGAGGGGGAGGTAGCGCAGATGTTCCGTTGGCAGTATTGGATACGGCGACAACATCCTGGCTGCTTCGTCTAGACGCAGGGCGGGAAGAAGGACGGGTGTCTCCATTGTGATCAGATCGACCATCTCTTGAACTTCGCCGGGACGTGGAGGGCTGCCGTGCCATATTGGACTGCTCATAATCCCTTCGGGCGACACCAGCCAGGGCATTTGGACTTGCTTGGGGAGGCGTGTCGTATGTGCGAGAGTGGGAGCGATGGTGGTAATGAGATGGCCTGGAAGTGGTTGACCGAGTCCTGGAAGGCTGGGATGGAGAGGGAGCGACGTATGTGGACGGAGGGTTGCGGGAGGAAGAATGACTGCGGACAACCTGGGGGGATTGTTGCGAGGTCGCGGTAGCCATGATGGAAGGGATGGCGATCGTGCTGGTGAGATCGGTGGGATAGAGGATATGGTGGAAGGGTGGGATTGTCCCCCCAAAATGACAGGAATGTGGTTGTTTTGAGGACCCAACCGATGGGTTCACGGTGCTTCAAGCTGACTTGAGGGTAGGCAGGAGCCGCAAAGCATAATCAGGGAGACCTGAAAACTTGATGAATTGGGGTTGAGGAGAGCGAGGGATGAAGATCGATGGAGGTAGATCAAGTTGTCTTGATCAGGACATTTGGCTTGGAGAGGCTGGGAGCAATACAGTCATACTGGATGAACATTGGGGTCCTGTGGGAAGCAGAAGGCCGACAGAGACACAGATGAAGATGACAGGTCAATCCTGTGTCTAGCTGGTCAGATGCAGGAAGTAATCAGTCAAATGAGTCGACAGTGTTGATGTTTCAGGCACAAGAAGAACGCTGATGTGAAAGGCGGAGTTGGCAGTTGGGCGCAGGCCAGGCTGTGGTTCACAAAGAGTCGAAGCTTGACGGGTGGACGTGGACAGCGTAGTGACTGGCGCGATGGGGTGGTATGGGTGATGGGGTGGTATGGGTGATGGGGTGGTATGGGTGGTATGGGTGGTATGGGTGGTATGGGTGGTATGGGTGGTATGGGTGGTATGGCGGTATGGTCGTGATGGAATTGATCCACTTCCAATAATAAATACCTAGGTAAGGTAATCAGAAGGCGATGATCAGACACACAGATGGGGGAGCCTTGTTTGCTCAAGCCTCTAGGTAATCACAGGACTGAGGGCCGAGGGGCCGATGCGGCCTAACCGTGACAATTTACGGAACCAGGGAAGCTTGGGATTCCTAGGCTGGTTCTCGGGTTCTTGGGTCGAAGTAGAGAATAGGTCAGATCGGCCTATGGCGGTTTTGGGTAGGTACCTAGGTACCATTTCACAACAGTACCTCCTTGTAGGTAGGTACCTATAGAGTGTAACTCCTGGGACCACGCCTGCTAGACGCCGAGGGCCCCTCAAACAACGCGTCCCCTCACCCAAGACTTGCTTAACTAGGCGGCCTAGGGAAGTTTTAATGAGACGTTACCTACCTACCTAGAATGAATGTACCTACCTACATATCTACTAGGTACGGGTACCTAAGGTACTGTAGGTAGGTAGGTACCTAACACAATTTAAGGTGCTCTTGTCTTCGGCCTTCAACCTACCAATTCACTGCCAGTCGTGCCTCTCAGCGCGGGTGTTATTGGCTGACAGTGAAGGTATCATAGATCGCTAAGGAACCATGAGCAGTTCGTGAGTTATTTACTTGTGGGCTTAAATCAAGCTCTTAACAAGCGGATTCTACTTAGCTGCAAATGTTTGGTCGGCGCAGATGGCCTTTTTTGGTGACTAAGTGCCCAAACAATGGACACATAAAACACCAGAATGCTTGGAGATTGGAGGTACCTGTGGCGGCGTTGGTGACAGCAATGGCCCCATGGCCCCTCAGCCTAAGTTAGAGGAGAACTTGACCTCTTGCTGATATCGTCAGGTGATGGGCGACTGCGTCGAGAGGCCGAGGGGCCAGTGTCGTCGTTTACACAAGGGACCCCTCCTGTCGTCTGTGCAGCCGCGTACTGTGGGCCCCTTAGCCTGACTTTGGTGACATTATCCATACAGTAGTACTGCATAGTACATTAGGTACTTCTACACATATTTCTCCAACCAGCACCAACATTCGACGTTCACCTGGTTCAGCAGATGCGGCAATTTCACAAGAAGCTTGGTTTCTGCAACGCCTCGTCCCACCATTTTGCGTATACTCATGACCGCACAGGTCTCATCCACCGGTCTTCTCCGTCGAATTATCGCTGAAATGCTCGCTACCTGCGAAAATGGCTTCCAAGCGACCCCGCCGAATCTACGAGTCAGATGCCCTTGAACACTCCTCCCCATACACATTCTATGGAACTCCATTACCGCTCCAAGAAGACGGCACTCGTGAAGATGGTACGTTTGTACCAATCTGGAAGCAAGAAGTGACGGACGAGCGAGGTCGGAAGCGCTTACATGGCGCATTTAAAGGAGGTTTCAGTGCTGGGTAAGCATCTCGACATCTCGCTGGCCAAATTGTCATGACTAAACAGAACCTCACAGCTATTTCAACACAGTCGGTTCCAAGGAAGGATGGACCCCATCGACTTTCATCTCCTCGAGACAGAGCCGAGCAAAAGGCGGCCAGTCCTTTCCCCAACAAAAACCCGAGGATTTTATGGATGAAGAGGACTTGGACGAGGCGGACGAACATAGACGCCTAGAAACGTCAGGGGATTTCGCTGGTTTTGGTACCGCTCAAGATCCAACGCGCAGAGATGCTATGGTTGAACTATTCTGCCGATCTCAAGATACTATCGGCGTCAGACTCCTTGGTCGCATGGGATGGCGACAAGGCCAAGGTATCGGCGCCCGAGTTCGACGTTCTACCAACCTCCGGGGATCACCCGGCTCAGAGCATTTGTTCGCCCCAGATGACGTGGAGATCATTTCGATGGCCCAGAAAGCAGACAGAAAAGGACTTGGCTACAACGGCCATCTCTCCGACGGTGGAGCAATAAGACAAAGCATCTCCTCCCCAAGTTTACGAAAATCTGGTTCTGAGCACTCGTCTGACGAGGATAATGGCCGCCTACAACTCTTCAGGCCCAAGGGCAAAAAGCGAGCCCCGAGGTCCAAAAATGGCATTGGAGTCGGTATTCTCAATGATGAAGGCTCAGACGAAGAGGACCCCTATTCGATCGGTCCCAAGATATCGTATGGCAGGGTGATCGGCGAGAAAAAGGCTAAAACCAAGGCTAGGGTCCGCGGCCGTGGAGGTACTGCGAACCCAATCATAGAGAGCAAATCCACCTTCACTGCGCATCGGTTCGGAAACACGAAAACACTGTTGCACAAAGGCCATGACGGCCGTCTACCACTTGATGGGTTTGTGCTAGGAGAGACGTTGGACGCATTTGGTGGCCTGAACATTAGCGACGAGCGCCGACTACCGCAAGTGGTTCCAGATAACTGGAAGTCGTCAGTGTCTGTCCTTCCAGAAAGTGATGGCTCAAGCTATCGGTCAACCGCTGACGCCGCGAAAACGTCGGAACTGACAGCTAAGTCTCGGGCAGGGCTGCTGGGCGAAACCCAGTTACCTGGAAGATCAGTGTTTGACTTGATGACGCCAGAGACCCGCATGCGTTTGGCCGCTGCAGCTGGCCGGACAGATCTACCATCAGCTGAAGTTGTACCCGAATCTGAGGTTAGATCTGAAGATGATATGCCCACCTTGAACCCTGAGGTAGCACGGCAAGCACTCCAACGGGAGGTCAATGGCTGGATGCCATATGCGGATGATGAGAATAAGCGGAACCGTTACCGAGCCTATCTGGAATCACAAGCTGAATCTCGACAGCTCAAGTTCGACCAGCAATCGCTGAACTGGCGAGAAGGTACAAATAAAGAGGACTGGATGGTGGAACTGCATGAATTTGCCCGGGCGGCCCAGGTTTTTAGGCCCATAAGTGGACTGATGGCTTCTCGTTTCACATCCTCGACGGCACTTGACCGAGAGAGAAAAAACGAAGCACAAGAGCCACTACTCAGCCTGCCACAGGCGAAGCCAGAGAATCCGGCAGAAGTTGCAGCCAAAATGAACATGTTTGGGGCTTTGACTCGTTCAGTAATGGCATTCCATCCAACCAGGCTGCTGTGCAAGAGGTTCGGATTGCCTGCGCCGGATCACTCGAACTACCCATTGGCGAATGATGGTCGTAATGCGACAGACAAAACAGAGGACGCTAGGGGGTCTGGAATGCAGTTCAGGTCATCTGCACCGGCCACGTTCAAGGACAACGCTGGGGCCGAAGCCGCGGATGACGGCCAGAAACGTCGACCTGACCAGACCAGTAGTTCAAAGGCATCGAACAATCAACCACAGGCAGGGATCCATGTTCATCCAACGGCTGTGAACCCTGACGAGAATGCTGCACTGGAACGATCAAAGCCCGGCCTGGAAGTCTTCAAGGCGATCTTTGGCAGCGACGACGAAGACGATTGACTTTCACTGACACCTAAAGAGACCTGACTTAGATGTGAATGTTCTGTCTATAAAGTACCTACCCTGATATGTACGTGAGCTGGCTGTCGTTAGCTTGCTGGCGATCTCTCACATGGAGCAAGAGAAAGGCGTGGCGATTTCTTGCCATTTTTTAGTACGAGGTTCACGGCCAGTTGTGTCTGTATTGAATAATAAGTAGTGGGCTACCCTAGGTACCTTAGGTACCCGAGTACGCATAGAGTACCACCAAGGAAATAAGAGTTCTATGGCGATGGCGACGGGCACTTTCTGCTATAAGATGGGTGAGGAAGGCAGTAGGAGTAACTACCTTACTGAGTAGGGGAAAGGATGGCTCAGCCTCCCCCACCTCCTACACTGTGTCCACTGCGTCCACCGTGCCCCTGGCTCCCTCCCCCTTCGAGCCTCAACAGTACTAGCTCCGTAGCTACCTACTAGGTACTTACAGCACTAATAATAATAATAATAATAATAATAATAATTGTCTGTACTAAGGAACTGATTCAGAGCCTTGCCCAAATTTGGGGCTTGAGCCTCATTTTGTCCCAGAAATCGAGTCATGGACCATAAGGACACCAAGTCCACTCACCACTCACGACATTTATTGTCCTCCATCACCACTACCACCTGCTCCTCCACAAGTTTCGTGTGGCGTCGAGTTTGTGGGCGCCATGTTCACCTCCTATGACTATTCGACCCTTCATCTAGCCTCCATCTAGCCTCCGATTGAACAACAACTGTACACTCATCCAATCCCATCGACACAACACCTCAGCCATGGCCCGTCGAAAACAGGCCACCCCGACACAAAAAACCCACGCAGGAGGAAATATGCGACGCCTGTCAGAAGAACCTCAACCACATACAAATCATATCAATGGCAGTACCATGTCCCTAGACAAGTCGCAAGGCGGTCATGCGCGAAACCGCAACCAAACCCCACAAGCAGGCGTACTCGCCCTCATAGTCTGCGTCGGAGGAATATATGCGTCCTTCTTGACCTGGGGCCTTTTGCAGGAACGCATCACCACTACAGCCTACGCATTCGATCACACCGCGCAACCTGTTCTAGAATACTTCAGGTTTCCTATATTTCTCAACACCGTTCAATCTCTCTTTGCCTTCACCACTGGCAGTGCCTACCTCGTCTACAAAACTCGGTCTTTTCAGATCCTCCCCTCCGCCTCAGCCTTGGGACCATTCTTTCTCATTACATTCACCACTACTCTGGCTTCCCCCTTCGGATATGCCTCGCTTGCCCACGTCGACTACCTGACCTTCGTCCTAGCTAAGTCCTGCAAGCTTCTCCCCGTCATGGCTCTTCACATCACTCTGTTTCGAAAGCGATATCCACTTTCCAAATACCTCATCGTCCTGGCCGTCACCGGAGGCGTCGCCACCTTCACCCTGTACCACCCACCAAAATCAGGCAAGCCCAACGCCCCCATCTCTCAGTCCAGCAGTACATATGGACTAGTCCTCCTCGCCATCAACCTCCTTTTCGATGGGTTGACAAACACAGTTCAGGATCACATATTTACCTCGCCCCACCGCTATGGCAAAACTACAGGCCTTCAGATGATGGTCGTCCTCAACCTGCTGAGCATCATACTCATGTCTGCTTACCTCGTCACAGCCCCATATGTACCTTTGACGCTCGTTCCTTCTTTCCTCCAACCTTCCCAAACCCACGAACTCTCCACCGCTTTATCTTTCCTTTCGCGTCATCCCACAGTCTTCTATGATGTCCTGGGCTTCTCCGCCTGCGGTGCTATAGGTCAGCTATTCATCTACGCCACCCTGGAGCGTTTTTCCTCTCTACTGCTTGTGACAGTCACCGTGACGAGGAAAATGCTGACCATGCTTTTGAGTGTGGTCTGGTTTGGCAAAAGCCTTAGCCACGGGCAATGGCTTGGTGTCACATTGGTCTTCGGCGGTGTTGCCGCCGAAGGTTGGCTCGCTCGCGTCGAAAAGATGAAGAAGGAGAATAGAAAGAAGATCCGATAACTAGAATCCTCTCCGAACTAGTCCTTGTTTCCAAGAGACTTGCAGCGTCTTCGCCCGATGATTGCATAGACCAGCGACGTGTGGTATCTTCATTGGAATGCCCTTCCGAGTGTCAGAAGCTTGCATGTTTGTGAACGTCTTGATGTCGCCAGGTAGATCCCTCCTGTGGGCTCCAGGATCTTCTTAGCCATGACCAAGGGAGCTCTTCAGTTATAGTTTCTCATAGAACATAGAAATCCCACCGACTGTTCAATATTTTGAAGCAAAGCACAATTAATTCAATCGTTTGCCTGTTGCGGGGTACGAATACTGCAACAAAAGTCTCAAATAATTTCAATCTCGCCATATGGAGGCCCTCTCGCAGCATATAGACACAGGATACGGGTCTAGGCTTGTGCTGGCGACTTGTACGGCTTGAAGTGTAGAAGGAAAGAGTGACAGGCCAACAAGGTGGGGCGAGAGCCTTGCTTACACAACGAATCCCCTGACAAGGCTGCAGATGGTCATGGCAGATTCCCAGCGAAGGACAAGAATAATGGAAGCAGGTTAGCCGATCCTGGCATATCTCAGCGCAGCCTTCTACCCTCAGCAGGAGATGCTTGTCCATCTAGAAGGGTGTGCAAGCGTTTCTTTGTGTTAGCCCAGAAATGGCACCTTACACCCCGGTCAAGAGCCCCATGAGCCTGCAGATGGTCAGTGTTTGAAATTTGCTAGAATCTAGACATTTGCACAATGCCTGGCCAAAATGGACTGTTATCCCGACACTTTTGTCACCCATAACCTCCCCCTCGTCGTTGTCTCCGGGCTCGAAGCAAGCGATGAACACACCCTGGACCCCTCGGGCAAGGCTCACAACTTTCTTCTGCAAGGCGGTTTCAGAGTCAGGACGGACGCAGCGCCAGTCAGTGGAGAGATCTCGAAACATCTGCTCCAAGCATTCCGTGACCTAGATGGATCCTCAGTCCCATGGCACGCCCAGGCGCTCGCTTCAAGGAGCAGCAAACCATGCAAGATATCATATACCGGGCGGGTGAGTCGGATCTGTTGGACGTCGAGAGGGCGCTCCGATTGTACAATGCGTTGGAACTGATGGGTTTTCAATTAGGTCTATACCCTCCCCCCACGCAAAGCCCCCCCTCCGCCGCATTCGCCACGTTTCTCACCCGCTGCTGTCAATGGGAGCCCTCCACCGCCTCTCACATTGCATTCTCCCATCTCTCCCCTGACGCCGAGTTCCCCTCTTTACCCGGACGGCATCATGTCACCATTATGGCTCATGAAGCATCAAACTAGATTGCCTTGTCTTTTCATTGTCTTTTTAGCCTTGACGGCAGATCCCAAAACCTCTTCACTCCAAGACAATCGACTCAAGTCCGAGATTGGTAATATCCGGACCGCTTTAAACGTCGCAAATTACAAGACCAAGTTGCTGGTTGTTATCGTTGGGTGTGACAGTGTAGCCTCAACCGAGCTTGACGACCGCTTCTCCAACCTCAAACGCTCATCTGGACTTGACTCCAAGAGTTTCCTTTTCTTACCGCATGGTGCATCTGCAACTGAAGTCCTGAACTTTGTCCGCTCCACCCTCTCTTCGTTGCACCCAGCCTGTCTTGAATACTACCGAGATCTTTCGAAGCACGTTCGTCGGAAACGAAATCGGAACATTGTACCACAGCCTACCGTCATGCCCCTCAACTCCTCTATACTCCCTTTGGCGGGATGGACAGTACGATATGAGTTCAAACTGGGTGTTCTCGCAGAATTCCGGCAAGAAATGGACGCTGCTTGTCGCAATTATGAGGCGGCATATGAAGCGTTGTTTTCGAGCGAGGTCATCGATGCGGCATCAGGAGGCAGCCTCCGTTTTAAAGAAGCTCGCTTGTTGGCAGACGTCATTGCTTTCCGTACCATCAGATGTCTCTTATGGAACGATCAAATCACTATTGCCGTTAGATCTTGGTCGGCTCATCGAGAGCGTGTCAAGGATCTCTTGCAGCGGAGAGGCAATGGGATTGAAGGCTATACATGGCAAGCTTGGCAAAGCACATGGACAAAAGCCATGGCAGACCTCATCTCCAAGTGTCGGGTGCCGATCCTTCACAGCATTAACCGCACTGACGGTAATCATCTGCCGGTATTTGCCCGGCTAGAGAACTCCTTGGCTCCCGGAGAGCGCATTTCCCCCTGGGAGCAGCTTCATCACCAAGGCTACTGGCTACATCTCTCATCTATAGCTACTGTAGCACGCCGGAGCTATGCCCTTCAAAGCTCTGAGAAGATTGAAACTCATTCAACAAGCCAAGCGGGACTTGGGTCGTCCTCAGAACTCGACGTTCAGAACGCTCGCCTGGCTCTTGGCCCTTATTCAGAGCTTCAACTGCCTGGCAGGGCGAACCATACCTATGGGCACGAGATCGTCGCCACTCTGGATTCCGCGATTGAGCACTTCACGGAGCGTGGCCAATTGCGCAAATCAGACCTGCTAAAATTCGAACAAGCCATCGAGTACGTTGAGATGCGATCGTGGGCAAAGGCAATTCAGATTTTGCAATCATTGTGGGAGACACAGTCGTGGAGAGAAGCAGGCTGGTGGCAATTGCTACAACGCGTTGCCTGGATCATATTGGACTGCCTTGCAAACTCGAGAAACTTGGAGTTGGAGATCCGAGTGTTGTGGGAGTCTGCCAATTGTCTGTTTGAGAGCAGACCAGGCTCGGGGGATGATCTTATCCTTGCTTTGAACAATGCCTCGACTGGCAGCGTGCCTACTTCAGTGTCCATTGATGTGGACGGATCCCTGTCACCTCTGATTCCGTCCTTCGCATTCTCTACCAACAATGGCTTCGTGGGCGAACCACTAGAATGTCAAGTGACTATTCAAAACCGGTCGAGGCAGACCTCTCTGCCCTTGCATCTTGACCGCGTTGAAGTGGCTTTCGAAGGTAATCTCCGAACCATCCATCTTGTGTCGCACGACTCGAAAGATGCCCCCGTCAGTGGATCATCTGTCGACTTTATCCCTACATTTCTGCATGAGGCGGCGTCAGCGACTATGGTTGGCAGTGAGAGTACCTCAACAATGAATCATTCAGAAACTCGTTTTGCCAACCTGTCGATTCCATCAGGAGCCACTCACATCTTCCAGTTTCCGATTATTCCTCGCGAAGCCGGTGCTATTGCTGTCGCATCCATTACGCTACTCATTCATCACGGCAATTTGAAACTGACAGCGAGATCGTGCGAATTTGAACATTCGACGGTTTGTTGGTGGGAGACAAGAAACAGAACACCTGTTCCACGTTTGTTGGGATGTGAGCCCAATACCAACAATACCGTCATGGTTCTGCCGAAGCTACCGAAGCTCCAAATCCATGCTCTGAACTTAAGAAAGGCATACTACACCAACGAAAGGTTCGTGATAGATTTCGAGATTGTGAATGAAGAAGTCGAAGCCGTCACTGGTGGAGTACAAGTGCAGATGATTAGCCCGGTCTCGAATGCTGCACAATTGGGCTGGGCGCATACGGAGTCGACTCATACGCAGAAGGAAATGTCAGCGAGTGGGACTGTCGTACTGGAGCCTCAAAGCTTGGGGGTATTGGAAGCGGCGGCACGTCAGACAGTGTCAATCCGGTTAAGGGACACGTCCATGGCGATAGACCATGAGATCGAGCTAATCGTCCGCTACCAGCTGGCTTCCGAACCGGAAATAAACCTGACAAAAACTCTTGCTATTGATATCCCAATCATCCGGCCATTTGAGGCCAATTACGAGTTTCAACCGCGCCTGAGCGATGAGCCTTGGCCACGATTTTTCTCAACGCCACTGTTGGAGGCTGACGCTTCCACCCCTCTGGGTCTCAAGCATCAATACGCAGTAACAGCAAGTCTGTACTCATTTGCCAGCGAATCCCTTGTGATTGAAGGTATTCTCCTCACGGCCAAAGATATTGTGGGAGGGGCTGTGTGCGCATCCGAAACTGGAGTGGTGAAGAAAGGCACCGAGGGTGCACAGCAAGGCGGTGCCGATGCTATTCGAACAATCATAAATCCCGAACAGACCGAGAGGTTTGACTTTGAACTATTGATACAAAAGCTGGTTCTGGGAGACCGACACACGGTTGGGGTGGACCTTTTACTAGAAATTGGCTGGCGACGACAAGATTCGGAGGAAGTGCATGCGACGGTGCTCGAAGTTCCACGCCTGGTGGCTGCCATGGCAGAACCTCGAGTCATCCTGAGGACTTTTCCCGTCTCGCTCGAATCAGAGTCTGCACACCGTCTTGAGTTTATGGTTGAGAATCCAAGCATGCATTTCCTGACATTCAACTTGGCAATGGAGGCCAGCGAGGAGTTTGCCTTTAGCGGACCGAAGACCACGGCACTCAGCCTGGTGCCTATGAGCCGGAGCGTGGTGGTGTACAAAATACTACCAAGCAGGGCTGGCGAGTGGATTGCAGTCAATATGAACGTCGTGGACGCCTACTTTGGCCAAACACTGAACGTGCTACCAGGAGATGACGGAGTTCGGGTGAACAAAAAGGGAGGAGTTTTGATCAAAGTGTAGAGTACACTGGGATGTCCAAATATTACCAATGCGTGTGATTACAGTGGTACTAGGACCATTTCTCTCAAAGGGGAGTCTAAGGTCAAAGAATGAAGTTAGAAACCTCAGATACGATAGCACGGGAGGCACCTCAGGTACATAAGTTATGATTCAGTACTGTGACGACCCGTGTGATTATACGGAAGAGGAAGGCCTCGGATCTGCCTGATATTTTTGGTGCCTGAGGAGATGGTAACTCTCAGCACGAGCAAAAGCTCTAGTGTTGCCCCCACCAACGCGTAGTCGCGCAAGCCCGGCATTCTAACAGTTGTAATAATATTTATGATGATGATAATCCCAAAAATTCTCCCTGGACGCAGGTAGATTTGTTCTTGTCATTCGTTCCTCTTCATCCACAAACAGCCCCACGTCATTGCCCCCCCCTGCCAAGTACCATCCAACCAAATCTTGCCGACCTTCTGGTTTATCACTTGAACTTGTGCCCCAGAAGACGACCGGAGGTATGAACCTTTGTGACCATTGTGGTTCCTATTGATACTGCCTTCAAGCCAGCCTGCCATCCAGACGCCATGTCTGACTTTGTTGAAAAATTGTACAACGTATTCGCCAGCGTGACTGGACGAGAGAAAATCGGCCTGATTGACCTCAATGCTCCATCATTATATGGCGAGTACAGAGCTCTTGGTTGATGCAAGAGTGGTCCTAACTCTTTCTTAGTCGCTGCCGCCTCGATTGCGTTTAATCCTATCTTTTGGAAGTAAGTCTTTTTCTACCACGAGGTCTTTCCGTGCTAACGTGGTACAGCATTGTCGCGCGTTTAGGCAAGAACACTCTCAACCTCGAAACGGGGCACAATCTGACGCTCGTGAGCAGAGTATAAGACACATGTCCTGACTAAGATCTTTCGATCGCCGTACTACGGATGTTACGCGTTAGCAGTAACCATCTTTTCCATTGGCATCATCCGCGACCATTTCTACACGCTTGCTCTGGACGATCAACCTGTCTACCCCCTCTTGCACCAGCCGGAACTTGGTGCTGGCCTGTTTCTGGCAGGCAATGTCTTGGTACTGTCAAGCATGTGGGCTCTGGGAGTCACCGGAACCTATCTGGGCGACTACTTTGGCATTCTGATGGATGAGAAAGTTGAAGGATTTCCCTTCAACGTGACAGGAGCTCCCATGTACTGGGGAAGTACCTTGTCCTTCCTCGGCACTGCACTCTACAAGGGTCGGACAGCAGGTCTCTTGCTGACCTTGGAGGTCTTTGTCATGTATTTAATTGCTCTGCAATTCGAAGAGTATGTTGTTCACGTAAATGATCTGCTTGAGATATCTTGCTAATTCCCGGCAGTCCCTTCACAGCCAACATCTACGCCCAGAAGGATGCTCGGCCAGTCACTCGATCAATGACCAAACAGAAAGACCGAAAGAAAGCTTGAGTCGGTCAAGAGCTTGTCACACGCATGGTCTGTTAATAGACTCTCCGGGCGAGAATCACGGATCACGTGTCGTATGTTACCAGGACTTGTCTGCATGAAGGTATTGTTCGTCAGTCTGGTGTGGCGATGGAGTCAACCCCCAAAAGCTGGAAGATTTTGCAAGGTGTGCATCATAAGCGAGAGCAATTCAACAATAGCTCTTATTTGAATCAACTATTATCTTGTCGTTGTACTTTTCCACTTTCATCTTAGCTGTCTTGTGCGAACCTGGTTGTTGTGCTCATGAATCGCCACGCTGTGATACTTTCTCGTACTATACTCTCCTTCTGCTTCCTTCTCTTCTTTTAAACCTCAATAGGTGTAGCTCTATCATTGTCCTCTTGCTGTACAGACGTTCTTTTAACTAGACATCTCAATTCTTCCTCTCTGGTGGCCGGAGTCGCAGTCACAGTGGTAGAAAGCTGTCATCATAACTTGGCACGCGAGTCATGCTCCGGAGTTTAACCGATGACTTGACTCGGATCTTCTCATCCTCGCCTTTGATTCGCGTGCTTCACAAGTGAGGAGCAAACTGCGTTCGCGATCAGGTGCACTGTCACCATCCTCACATTCTGTTTCTTCTCCTACCCATGCATATATCGTCTGGTTTACGGCATGTAGCAACGCCTTGATTACTTTGACAGTCAGCTGCCATCGTTCAGTTGATCCCTGACCTGTCTCTCCTTCTCTCAACCGGCACAGACACCAGAAATTCCACACTGCTCCTTGCCCCGTCCGCCAGACCCAAAACCTCTTCCAAGCTGCCATGCCTCCCCAACACGTCGAGGTCGCAGAGACCATCGCAGCACTGAAGCGAGCGCTGCGCCGAGAAAAGGAGGGCAAGTAACTATCGACGCTGAGCTTCAGACCTTCCACTAAAAGGCCATCCCATTCCAGGTCCCACAGACCAACCTATCTCGGCAGCCACCAACCGTGGCAACAAGCTCAAATCCGGTGCCAGCTATGTCCATGCAGGTGCATTACCATACGACCATCGTCCCGATGGCTACAAACAGGCATGCTCCATCCCGCGGCTCATTGGTTGTCTCATAAGTGCATTGCTTATCAACGTCTGCGTAGAGAATCGAACACGCTGGTTATACCCGATTCATTCTGGAGCGCAATCCTCGACGCTTCAATGGGATTGGAGATGAGCTGGGTGACAGCGAAAGTGACACCGAAGCTGACGAAGACGCCCAAGCCGAGAACCCCTACAGCAATGTTCGGATTGAAGGTACGCAGTCGGCTCCCATCCCATTCCACCTTGAATGATGAAAAACTGAACCCGAGACTCGAAGAACTCTTACGCCCTATTCAGCACCCCTCCGAACTCGCCACACATCCCACTCTGTCTTTGCCCTTTCTCGACCCTGCACTCCCCGAGATGCTTAGATCTACCGAGGAGAAACTGCGCCAGGAACGAGCAAATCTCTGGCGTGCTAAAAATCTGAACAGACATTTCATTGGCGATGAGTCTTGGATTCCAGTAGGTGCCATTGAAGGGATAAATGATTGGGATTTCTTTGAACCAAGATCAAAACCTCTCCCTGAGCCAGCAAACAAGAAAAGAAAGATCAGCGTCAACAACCAGACCTCTCGCAACGGAATGAACGGACTAGATCATTCCTACCAACAGGTTGTCCACTCCCCCTTAGCCCAGGCTCTCGAGGCCTCGAACAAAGGCACGGAGAATACTAAGCCCTCCACGATGCAAGAAGATTCCTCCGGACATCACCAGCCCATGAATGGCGTCCGCAAAGACACGGAAGATATCAAGGACCAGGACGTGACCACACCTGAGTCAAGCGCCCTCACCATTGACCAGACTAGTCAGTCAAACGAGCAGCAGGAAGATGTTCAAGACGACTCCGTCCAGAAAACCTCCCCCCCTCCAACTCGGCGTATCACTCGTGCACTTGCCGCTGAACAGGATGGCTCTGGTTTGGCATCGGCCTCAAGCTCATCGCCTGAATCCACCGCCTCGTCTTTGGACCACTCTTTGCTGCAACCCGACCCTTTCTTCCTCCCACCACCTTCTTTCGCAGCTTCACATCGCAACCCCTTGCATCTAGCGCGAATTGGCCTACCGGTAGACGAGTTCCTCGAAACACGCCGGCTGCTCACAATGTACATACAGAAGCAGGAAGAGAGCGTGCGCGGCTATGAGGCATTCCTGGGCAAACTTATTCGCGCAAAGCGCATGCGTGACAAAGTCTGGGAATGGTGCAAGGCCGAAGGACATGTCGGGGAATGGTCGGACGGAGAGGACTGGATCGATTCCGAGGCATGGGGCCTGGCTCCAGACGAGCTGAAAAAGGGCAAGGACGAGGAAGAGGTGGACGGACAAGAGGATACCGGACGCAAAGTCAAGAGGAGGCGCAGAGACTAGGAATTGGCTGCGCAGCTTTCCGAGACTGGGGAACGGGCGAGTGAACCTGTGTATTCCCTGTTTCAAGGACGTTATGAGCTACGTGCACGGACAGCCTTTAGCTGAGACAAGAGGAACCCGAGCGTTTTGCATTGTTGAGACAGCTCATCAGCATCGATCTAGCTAATCTTGACGCATGAATGGTATGACAACATTTGATGAATAAAAGGAATGAAGAATAGACGCGGGATCTGCCACGTCTACTTGCTGCTGAGCTATAACATTCTCGTGTGGCAGCCTCTCGCTTCTCACTCGAATTTAGTGAGATTTTGATCTGGCGCTATTGTCCTCAAGGAGTCTGGAGGCCGAACAAACAATGCTGGAGAGATGCTCTCTCATACAGGCGCGTGTTTTGATCATGGCGAGCGTCCAACCATACACCTTCTCCGCCCCATGCTGGTTGAAGTGTCACTTAATAGTATCGGCTAATTACGCTGACCCAGCAATACCAAGTCTAGAAATATTGGATCGCGTCCCTTGCATCGAGGCGCATGTGGTTCTGTATGTCTCGGCAGTGGCTTGGTCTCTCGTAACCTTTGGCCCAAGGATCTCGGAACCAAGAAAGAGGAGCACGTGTCTGTTGAGTCCTGATCGGATAGGCGCGTGAGGAACAAGGGGGATTCTCGATCTCGCGGCGATGCTCGAGTGCAGGCTGGGCGCACATCTCAACCGGTAGAATAGCTTCAACAAACGACACATCAGGGAGGAAGCCTGGTAATAAGAAGTCGAAAGGCAACGCGTCCTTGGAGGCTGTGCCAGCGCGCCGAAGTTGCCCAACAAAAGTCGTCCTCTCGAACCCCCAAGCTTCAAGCTTTTGGCGCTAGAGTATGTGGAGTGTGACATTCTACGCGGTGGCTCGACCAGTAGAGGCGATGGGTACTTGGCTGTCATCGATCATTCTCTGGTCTCCGTTGTCTTCGAGGTCCTCGTTGTCGTCACCGTCTCCATCACTGCTCTCCGCATCCTCAATGAACAGTTGGGTCTCCGAGGATACCACGCCGGCATGCTTCAGTCTTGCACGCATCTCTCTCCTTTCTGCGTCTTGCCACCTAGCCACGGACGCTGCTGCATGAACACGAAATCCAAAAACTTTGGGTTCATACCGCCTTCGCGACTTAGCTGGAACCAGGGCAGGATATACTTGGAAGAGAATATTGTGGAAAGAAGAACCAAAGTAGGCGCCGTCAATTGCAGCGTGGCGGGAGGATTTGGGGTTATAGATGTCTTCACACTTTGCGCAGAACAGCTTGACCGACTTTTGGTGTGGGACGTCGTTCGGACCAAAGGGAAGGAGCGCCTGGCTCTCACACAAAACTCGAGGACATCGACCGAAATCAGCCTTTTTGAATTTGTCCACCATTTTTGCGAGTCCACGAGTCGTGACGATATAACGAGCGTGGACGAGGCCATACAAGTGGCGTGCAGCCTTTTCGATCTGTTCACGCATGTCATCCTCGCAATCGAGATCGAATACATCGGTGATCAGGTCCAAGGCATGTTGGTAGTAATGTACTTCGGTGTTTAATCCGGTCAAATTGAAACGATCAGTGATGTATTCTTCATCGATCTCGCAAAAGTACTCGTTTCCGCGGGATGAGATAAACTGTTTTGAAGAAACGCCGTCAGCAGAGTCCGCCAAAAGCCAGGAATGAGACTAGGTGTTGAACTAGCGATATGATAAGACGATAAAATGAACGACGTTCGAACAAAATCTTGACTTGCTCCACTCATGGTTACTATGCAATCTTCCAATCGTGATGATGATGTAGTAGTATACCAAGATCACCAAGGCCCAGCCAGCCGGTTCCTCGCATGTCAGAGCAGCGAGGCGCCTCCAGCCGTCAGGGCGGTCTTGTGGTGACTTGGGAAGTTCGTGACTCATCAGGAGGCTGGAAGTATGACGAGCAATTCTTGAGCATTCATCATTCGAGCCAGACCTTTTCCAGCACCACGTGACAATAGGATGTGATAGCGATGCAGTCGGCCGATGCCCAGATGATGCGACAGAAAGGATATTCTTTCTCTTGGATAACACGAAGACGGAGCGATAGGAAAGTAATAGAGGAGGACGTACCCAATCTCTCCAATAGCTTGTGTAGTCGCTATCGGTCTCGGACTGGAAGTCCTCCATCATCAATCTCGTAGATGATCCGGCTTTAGGTTGAGTTATCGGACCGAGTCAAGGTTAACAAGGCTGAAAGTCATGCAGGTGCTCTAACTTCTGCAGCTTCCAAGACGTGTACAACGTGGTGGGATGTCTATTGTGCCGAGAAGTTGAATCTGTGAGGTTTGTTTGCGGTGTCAAGTGGTGGAAAGGAGGGACTGACCAAAAGAATGACTTTGTTGGCGGGCGGAGCAATCACGTGATACTACGGTGCAGTGGTTAAGGACATCTAACAATGATACAATACGGTGAAGCAATATCACCAACACGACGCGACGCGTGTGATGACTGACTTCCCTGCCATGGCGGCTTCTTCATCATTACGCGCTCTCTTCCAAATTCCTTTCGCAACTTGAGCAGAGATCACCAGTCCTTCTTCTCTCATGCTGCTGTCACCGAAAGCTACACCATAATTCTTGCTGTGAGTTTCAAAATTCAATCGTTCCCTACCAAGTCTGGCGTCTCCGAGATCTCTGACCGTGGCCTGACTGTCCTTTCCTAACCCCACGAATTCCAGGCGGCCTCAAACACGTGGTGCCATCATCTCTAACAGCTGCCCAATGCTTCTTGAACAACTCCGGCTAAAACTATAGATGTGCCAAGTCGAGCTGTCTTGCGACCAAAGTCATCTCTGAGTATTATTGCTAACATGGTCCCGTCGACTAAACTTTTCTGGTACATGGTCTGTTCCCTGTTCCATTCCCTTGGCAAGGCGGCATGCAGGCCGTCCAGCCTCGAGGAGCGGAGGTGGCCACTGTCTGTGCTTTCATGAATCTCTCCTGTGATTCGTTACACATATGATTCCGTTGGCTTATTATCATCTCTCTACCATTCTTGTTCCTTCAGCTGACTAGCAGATTAATATGGCGGCTCGTTTCCTGTCACGTGCCATCAGTCCTTCGACCATCCGATTTTCGATAGCGCAAAACCTACTCATAAGCCCAATGCCTGCCGTCCCATCATTGTCGCTTGAACTTGGATTGCCATGCTCACGCCAGTTTGCGCATGTCTTCATACTCAGACTTTTGTTTGACGATGGGCACGCTTCTGAAGCCACCTTGAAAACAAGATTCCACAGAAAGTCGTTACTGTTCGGGCAAGGGAGATGAGTAGTGTTGGGTTCATTTGCGCGTCGATCATTGACCAGTTTCCTCCCCGGAATTACTGCTCCAAGCCTTAGGATCGTAGCAGTCTGGAAGTATATGCACAGGCCCACTTCCACCCATCGACGCGAGAGGGTGCTGCTGTCGAGCCCCAGTGATGCTCTGGAATCTGAAAAGAAAGAATCTCATCTTCCCGCGCCTGCCTATGGTTGGTTCCGTGTTGTCAATAGCGTCGGTAGTCCACGCTTGGACGTGGCTACGGCCGCTGTGCCACTTCATGAACCATCCCGTTCAAAAGATGAGTTCTGCATACGTCAACTGACATCCGAACAGCAGAATCACCATGGTCAAAGTTAGAAGCTCTCTGGCCATGCCTTGCGAGCAAACTTGCATAAGGCGCTGGCGAGACCGCCATCTCCAAGGTACAACTCTGGACCAGCACTTGATATTTTCATTTCCAGTGGCCCTTGATCCCTGTGCAAACAAAGCCTTCAGATCCAGCGCAACATGTTGTCCATAAGCTACATCTTGAATCTCATACTGTGCATTTGCTTTGTTTTGGGTCATCCTAACCCGAATCCGCCTCCACACTCCAGGTCTAGCCACAGTCATGTTTCCGAGCAGATTTTCGTTGGCCGCTTCGTTTCGACCCCAACCCCCGGACAGCTGTTCATCGAACAAGGAGCAATTCTCGTCTCTGGCCCAGACGGCAGGGGTTTCATCAAAGCTATCGCATGGAATGTGAGCGATGGCACGACAGCTGCCTTGGCGCTTGGTGTGGACAGCGGAACCACCGTAGTTACCGCGGGCGACAACGGGTTTTTCTTCCCGGGTTTCATTGGTAGGCCGATCGCCGCATGTCAATCTCACTTTGCTGATTCTTCGAGACGCACACATACATGCGCCTCAGTACCCCAATATGGGACTTTTCTCGGGCACCTTGTTGGACTGGTTACAGACGTACACCTTTCCGATGGAGGCTAGCTTAAGCAATCCGGACTCTCCCGATTATGCGAACTCGACGACTACCCCAGATCCCTCTGCACGAGCACATGCGGTTTATTCGCATGTTATTGACAAAACTTTGTCATACGGCACCACAAGCGCCTCGTATTACGCGACTGTGGACGTGTCCGCGACAAATCTCCTAGCATCATTGGCATTTTCAAAAGGCCAACGAGCTTACATTGGCCGCACCTGCATGGACAACCATCAGTACACTCCGGATTATTTCCGAGATGAGTCTGCCGAGGACGCCATCAATAAAACTCTGCAGACCATACACTACATCCAAGGGATTGACCCGTCTGGCGATCTTGTTGCCCCTATTATCACACCGCGTTTTGCGCCTGCTGTCACGAATGAATCCATGAGTATGCTGGGAGAACTCGCAAAAAACATGAGCCTTCGCATTCAAACACATATGGATGAGAATGTCGGTGAAGTAAAGTTGGTTGCGGAAATGTATCCACAGCAATCATCCTATGCGGATGTTTATGACTCTCACGGTCTCCTTACAAATCGCACTATACTGGGGCACTCAATTCATATGACGGATGCTGAAATCACCTTGGTTGCAGCACGGGGCGCTGGAGTTGCCCATTGTCCCACAAGCAATTCCGCTCTTGGGTCTGGCATTTGCCGCGTTCGCAAGCTCATCGAGGCTGGAATCAAAGTCGGCCTTGGCACAGATGCTGCTGGCGGATACTCTGCCAGTATCCTTGAAGTTGTGAGACAGGCTTTCCTGGTGAGCCGTCTACTCAGCTTCCAAGAGGGCCAGAACTCAAGCCTCACCGTACCCGTGACGGAGGCTTTGTATCTTGGGACCATGGGCGGCGCGAAGCTGATTGGGATGGAAGGAAGGCTTGGCGGCTTCGAAACTGGCATGTTGTGGGATGTGCAGGAGATTCAGCTGGGCAATTGGCAAAATGAGCCTGTGGATATTTTTGGTTGGGAAGATTGGCACGAGAAAGTCAACAAATGGGTTTGGAACGGGGATGATCGAAATGTCAAGCGAGTTTGGGTAGGCGGGAGGCTGGTACACCAAAGGCAGGATTAATTATAGGCTAAGGCTTCGCTCACTGTATGGAGCCTCGCATCCATAGACTTTGAGCATTTGCTACTTTTAACGACTAGCCTCGTATCAGGTATGGCGCTGAATGTTAGTCCGACGGTGAGTTCCCAGCGTATCACTGCCTCAATTGCCTAGGCTCTGCGTTATAACAGCAATCAGTGTCACCAGAGATCTAAGAGGAGGTATTGTGGGTTTTGGACATCCGCGTCAATCAGCAGGAAAACTTCTTCACTGGTACGAGCGGATAGATGTGCTTCAGGCTTGGTGATTGTTCTCATCTATCCAGATCCATCGGTCTAAAATTAAGATCATGTCTGTGATGAGGTATGCAGCTCCTCCACCTAGAAGCTGGGAGTGTTCAAGGTGATGCCCATCAGGATGCCTCCGATCAGGCCGGCGATGGGAATGGTCATGACCCAAGAAAAGAAAAGAAGGCCAACTCGCTGCCAATTGACCGCTTTCAAGGTTCCATTGCAGAGACCAACCCCTACGGTGGCCCCGGTGATACACATAGAGGTCGAGACGGGAAGCTTATACTGAGAGAACACCAGAATCGTAATCGCAGCGCCCATTTCCATCGACGATCCACGGGAGGGAGAGTGATACGTGATCTTATTCCCCATGACTAGGATAATTGTCAGCCAACTTGGTCTTGGAGGGAAAGCGACATGCATACCTTTCATGATGTTGTAACCATACGTGATGAATCCAATACAGATCGTCAAAGCAGTAACAGCAATTTGCCAGAGGGGCACCGGTGCCTTAGCTGCTGTGGCCGTGGACGTAGACCAAGCAGAGTACATGGCAGCCCAAACTCCAACAGCGTTGCCAACGTCATTAGCACCGTGTGCAAAGGATGCCGTGCAAGCTGTAATGATTTGAACAAAAGAGTACAGGTACTCTACCTCATTGGCGTACTTGGGAGCATGTGCATAGACACGATCCATGCGGCGTCCCTCCGGAGTGCCCAATACTCCAACTTGTGCCTTGTGGATGTCGTAGTGAAGGCCATATAGTAAAGCGACGACAGGATAGGCGGGCAGGCGACGGCAGAATGCCCTCAAGTTGTGGAGTTCATACACTGAGCCGGCTCCCATCGGGTTGTTATGAAGTACACGCATAGCCCATCCCAAGGGGCTTCGTGATTGACGCAGATCTGCGTGGTGGCGCTGAATGGCCTTTTCCAGAAGAAGTTTATACTGTTGTTGTGATTGTTGCTCTGGCACAGCCTCTTCGGCTTCAGCAAGAGTGAGGGCTCTTGGGCCGGTAGTGATGTTGCCAGGAGTGATGTCGTCACCGGGGGCACCCTTCTCGTTTAGTCGAGTTGTCTTTGACTCTGACTGGTCAGACGAGGACTCGTCCCCTTGATCTTCTCCAGCGTGTTGAATCACGGCGTAGTTGGGGACTCTAGCTGCATATGCTTCCGCTGGTGCGGGTCGCTTGAACAGAAGAGGTCCAAGGAAGATGTGATAGAGTCGTACCGATTGGTCTCGCTTGACAACTTTGGCGTGAACATAGGGGACAAAGAAGAAAGCTGATAGGATAAAGAGGCCAGCTCCAGTGCCGAGAGAAACACTGGCAATGAACCATGCGGGCTTATTAGCCAACCCAAGTTTTGGGGAACCTTTGTACACAATCGAGAGAGCGCAAACGGTTCCCGCGATGAGAAAGAAAAAGGGTGACGTCCAGACTGCCCATGGGACAGGATTTGTTCTTAAATGAACAACGAACTTGATGAGCATGAAGATAATGGCACCAAAGCATCCGGAAATAATGGGAGCCATAGCAAGACCCGAAAAAATGGCCCCCAATCCTTGTCCACCGTTCCACCCCCACTGTACACCTTTTGCACCCACTGTAGCAACGCCAACACCGGCAATAGATGAAACAAGTGAATAGGTCGATGAGACGTGGGCGTTATGGCGTGTACACCACATGACCCAAATGGCTGCGCCTG